GGCTCCAGGGAGGACTGGGTTGCTCAGAGGGACCTTAAAAGCCGCTGAGTTTTAGAAGGAATCCAACAACAGAAAGGGAGCATTTTAATGCAAATGCAACCCCAGGGCTGCTGTCACTTGGCCAGCAAGCTCCTCTGCTTTTTGTGTGGTGGACCCTCCCAGGAAAAGATGTGAAACATGCATGCTCATTATAGATAGAGTTTTCATAAATTACATACATGTGTGGCTGTCATTGCATATATTAAATATCAGAGAATTTTGAGTTCTTTTTTGTTTTGAATAACAGTACATAGAAGTTGTCATCTTTTCTTCCTCTACCTAGTGGGTAGTACTGCTGTATGCAATGCAGGCCCTGGCACACTCAGCACAGGTGGTCTGTCCCTGTTTACTTATCCCCCTCTGAGCTTTGCCCCACTACACTGAGAATTCTTGAAGTGGGGGAGATACTTGCACATCTTTTTTTTTTTTCCTTAAAAGCAAAACAAAACAAAACTCCAGTATCTGTTTCAGGGCTCAGGGGTTATGAGAGTGAAGGCCCCACCTTTGTGCTTCTGGCAGAGTAAGTGGGCTGGTGAGTCTGGTTTTCCTTGGTGAGCCTGCAAGTATTTTTCACCCCTTGGATAGACCAGGCTGAGATGCAAGGTATTTTTAACAGGCAAGCAAAGGTGAGAGTCAAGTCAGAGGCGCATGTCATATGAATCACGGTGATGAGTGAAAGATGTATTTGGAATCAAAATCCGGGGGGACCTATGGGCAGAAATTCATCACTGTCCTCCCTTTCAGTTTGCTAGACCAACATACCAATAAACCTCTTTTTAAAATGTTTGTAGTTTAGCTGAGTTTTATAATCAGGAAAGATTTTGGGAGCCATCCAGGATAAATTTCTTATTTTAAAGTCAAGAACTTATTTGCTGGCTGGCCGAGTGGCGTGTTGGTTAAGAGCTGGCTTGGGACGCCAGCTCTGAGCAGCAGGGCCCCGGTTCGGATCCCACATGAGGGCTAGTGACACTGCCCTCTACAGCTAGGATGGTGAACAACAGCTAAGATGGTGAACAACAGCTGGAGCTGGGCTGCTGTGAGTCGCCGGTGACAGCGTAGGCTGCAGCCCCTGCTGCAGTGGGCTGCCATGAGCTACCGTGAGCGGCCGTCCAGAGTCTGGTGACCTATCTGCCTTACTTGGGAAGAATGCAATGATCACAATACCAACATGAGCCAATGAAGCAAAGTCCTCCACAACTAGACTGAAGAACAAAAAGGACAGCAACTTGTCTGTTCCCCTTCCCTGATTCCCCAGCGCTGTTTTCCTCCTCCAATTCTCCAATAAAATCTTTAAAAAAAAAGAAAAGAAATTATTTGCTCCCTGTTAACAGAGGTGGAATAGGACCCAGGTCTCCTGGCATGCAGGCCACACAGCCACTGGGGTAGTTTTGTTGGTTTTACTAGCTGCATTGGGCCAAATGGTGTGTAGACAGATGGCAGTCATTAGTTGAGGGGGCGTTGCCCACTCCTCTTGGAGCCTCTGGGTACAGGGCAGTTGATGGCTCTGAGGTACATAGATCCTTTAATCTCTGTGTATGTAGTTGAAGTGTGCTCCTTTAGGGCTTGAGAATTCACGCAGCAGGCAGAACCTATTCAATTCAGTTCCTTCATATCAGTTCACCTTTCATTTATACAAGCATGTTGGCCTTAGTCCAGAGTTTTCTTTCTTCTATCAAGTGACTGTAGAGTTCCACCAACCTTGTGTGCTTTGTCACCACTGATTTCAAAAGCAGCTGGCAGAAATATTTAGCTGATTATAGTTTTGCATATCTAACATATGCCAGGCAAGTTCTTAAATTTCTAGTGTTACTGACCACATTGGGACTCTGATGAACGTAATGGGTCTTTCCTCCAGAAAAATGTCCATGTGACATAACACAAGCCATGTTTGTATCTGGTTGAGGGGTGTTTATGGACTTCTGAAGTCTACTCTGGGCTCTTCTGGAGACAGGAGCTGGTTAGGGACATTGAACAGTGTTGCTGAGTGGAATTAACGATCCAGTTCAAGTTAGACACCACCAATTGGTAATGTCCCCTAGCTTTCGTGTGAGATGATTTTCCCTAGGTACACTCTTTTGCCTGGGTGCATGGGTGCAAGGAAGATGATGATGAGATTGATTCAGAGATGGGGATTGCTGGGTTGGGGCAATGGGAGAATATGCATATGAGGGTGTATGGATTGTGGCCACTACCGGGAATGTATTTGAAATAAATGAGTACCTGGAACTCAAGTAACCAGGAAAGGTGCAGAAGGAAGTAAAGAGAGGATGACAAGGGCTTAGATACCTCGGAAGGAGGGAGGGAGTTGCTGGTGGCTGGAGAATGTTTTGTTGGAATTTAGAGTGGGAGAGGTTAAAAAGTTAGGAGGGATGTTAGTGCAGGACAGCAGGAGTGGAGTACTTCCGTGTGGTGACAGGGTTCAGAGTGTGACCATGAGTCTAGAGTGTCAGATGTCACCTGTGAATGTAGAAGCTATGCAGAATGCACATGGAAGGTGAAGGGAGAAGCCTGTAAGATGTGTGGTAAGATTACAAGTTAATTTGGGCAAGGGACCTCTCTGGCTTTAGAGGATGAAAAAATTCTGAAGTTGAGTCTTGCCTGGAAACTTGATTACTCTGAGGCCATTTTCTCTCCTTTGCCTCCTGTCTTCTTCTCTCAAATAGGCACATCTTGGAAGTCCGACACCCCACACCCCCGTGTTTAGAGCCACTTATTATTGGGGGACCCTAGCTCAATACCTCAGTCTCCCAGCCTCAGTCCTGTGGCCAAGCGAAGGTTCAGACATTATTTTTTGCAGAAGTGCCTACTACCTTCCATCTGCAGTGTGATTATAACAACACCTAACTCTATTGGGTATTCAGTGAGGTCATGTGGGGACCGTACCTGGCCCAGTACCTGTCATAACTGCTCAGTAACTCAGGTTTTTCGAAGTCAATGCCTTTTATGCCCAACACCTGTGGTTAAAAACTGTCCCTTGTGCTTCCGATATGGCTTTTTCATTTAACTAGTTTGTACTCACTTCCTTGTACCAAAGCCATAAATGTGATATTGAACCCAGGCCCAGGATTCCAAGGGATGAAATAAAAAGATTGTTATATTTTCATACCTTTCTATATTAAAAATTAATGTTTAAAATAATCAATAAGCAACAAAACAAAAACTGTAATGAGATAGAAACAAAGTGGTGGGAGTCACCAGGGCCTTTATTAGTTGGCAGCCTGGTTTCATTTTTAGGCCCAAGGAATTAAATGGATCAACGAGGGGCTTTGAATTCTAACATTTCCAGCTCCTAGTTTTGGGAGGAGGAAGAGATCATGGAAATCCAGGAGCCAAAGTATGCTTCTTATAATAAAACGAGTAAAGAGGTGTGGGTGGACACAGAAACTGTGACTTGGACCGTTAGAATTATCACACGGTGGGAACCCACTAACGCCCGGCCTGGCTCCCAAAGTAACAGAATCCGAGTCTCCAGGCCAGATTTTCCCTCTAGCCATTCCAGGCCACGCAAAGCGGAGCTGCGAGCACACAGAAAGGGATGTCTTCATCGCCTACCAGGATGGAACAAACCCACCCGCTCTGGGAGTGCTGAGAACCAAAGAGTCCCTCTAATGCCCGCAGCAGCCAACATGACTTGACTGCCCTCATCCCGCGCGGTGCCTACTCTCTAGGCGCCCCCACCTTTCCGAGTGCGCGCGCACGAGCCGGCGAGCCGGGGAGCTGTGCGCCGGGCAGCCTGCGGGCGGCGGCGGCCGATAGGCTTACGGGGAGGGGGTGGCCAGGGGCGGCGGCGGAGGAGCTGGCGCTGCAGCGGGTCCCCTCGGGCCGCGCCCCGCCGCCACCTTCGCGTCTCTTCAGGGCTCTCCAGCGCCGGGGCTGTGTGGGCTCTCGTTGCCGCAGCGGCGGTCTCGCTGCGTCCGCCAATTAGGAGACTCGGCGTTTGGCTCCTTGGGGCGCGGGACGAGCGGCGCTGCCGGTTCTTGCGAGTGGAGGGTGCACTGCGCGCGTCCCTTCAGCCGCGCTCCCCGCGACGTTTTCAGAGGAGGGTAGAGAACTGCTGTGACTTTTGAGATCCAATTCCTCCTTCCGGCCAGCTTCCCGACGCTCCAGGCCGGAGAGAGGCCAGTGTGACCCACAGGCCCCGAAGGCTCACTGCGTGGTGTTGGGACTTGGAACGTGTCCGGGAGCCCACGACGTTGTGCGCGCTGGTGAGTTTGGCGCGGGGTGGGGTGTCCCCTAGTAAGAGGGGCGGAGAGGACGTCGCGCTCTGCCCCGTCGTCCGTCCCCTAGTGCTGCCCCCACTTTGAGAGTAATTGAGACTTGATCGTGACTGCGGAGCTGCGAGGATGCGGGCACCGGGCGCGGGCTTTCCCTCTGCCCGGCGTGATGGAGCGGGTCGGTGAGCGGAACAAAGGCGCCCGCCCCAGGGAGCGGGTCCTCGGCTGAAGACCGCGGATCCCGCGCCACGACGGCCGCTTGTGCACCAGGGTGGTGGCTGTGCTGCCCGAGGTGCGGCGCGCTCCATCGCAGGCGGGCGGCAAACCCCGAGCTGGGCACCTGCGCGCTGCTCCCGTCCCGGCGCCCAGGCAGCCCGGCCTGCCGGCCCGCCGGCCACCGAAGTCCGCTGCTCCCGTAGCCCCGCTCCTGGCGGCCCGAGGGCCAGCAGCGAACCATTTGCTGGTGCCGAGGGGAGGCCCTCAGAAGCCGAGGCGCCTGAAAGAGGCTACGAGCCGTGGACTGAGCAGGCTTCTCGGGGAGCACGTCTACAGACCCAGGGCTTCCATGTGAACGATTTTGCTCTTCTCCTGAGTGCCCTGTTCTCCCAACCGTCTCCGCTGCCGGAACATCCGCGCTGGGGGGTCGGGAGCGGCTGGAATCCTTGCCGGCGGTCCGGAGTGTGAGGTTTGCACTGCCCCTGGCTGCTCCGCGCCTCGCCAGAGCCGGAGGGGGCGCAGGTCCGGGGCGAGGGCCGGCCGGGCGTGTTTGATGGCTTCACTGAGAAGAGTCAAAGTGTTGCTGGTATTGAATTTGATCGCAGTGGCGGGCTTCGTGCTCTTTCTGGCCAAGTGCCGGCCTATCGCGGTGCGCAGCGGAGACGGCTTCCACGAGATTCGGCCGCGCGCCGAGGCGGCCAACCTAAGCGCGCACAGCACTAGCCCCATACAGGATGCGGTCCTGAAGCGCCTCTCGCTGCTGGAGGACATCGTCTACCGGCAACTGAATGGTAAGGACGCGCGCGGGCGCACACAGGGCTCGGTAAACCCCCAGGCTCTGCGCGGTGCTGGGGAGCCGGCACCTCGTGGGTCCTGCGCGCTCCCTCTTGCCCTGGAAAGAATTGCCTGCTTCTTTTCTGAGCCCCAACTCTAAGTTTGCTTTTATTGTGGAACATGTAAGTACAGCTGACTCCCGGTCTCCGAGTGTAGGGATCATTACCTGGCGACTCCATCCCAAGTACAGAAACTAGTCGCGTGGCCAAATGGGGCTGGAGGCGCAGGCCTTAGAAGGAGAAAATCGCTCGTACAGCGTAGCGTTTGGTGGAGTCCCACAGGGAGGGACATTGGTGGGATTAAAGGTCTGCAGTCAAGGCCTCAGGTCTGGAGCTAATGCACTTCCGTAGTAAGTTGGAGAGGCGGGCTGCACAGCTAATCATAAGGACTCCTTCCTTCTCTCAGCCTAGATGGAGGCTACTATTAAAAATACGCTGGGTTTCTCCAAGAGAGCTGTCTGAGGGCCATGCTCAAATTCTCAGGTGGGTTGGGGAAGCAGATTTTTACAGTTGTAAAGAGATGTGTGCCATCCAATCACAGCAGGTCCTTATAATGTCTGTTTGTTCAACCTCATTTCTTTGTAACGTTGATGAGATTCTGTAGGAACTTAACTCGCTAATATCAATTAGCCTGTGGTAAAATGAGTTTCCTTATATCGGTCTTCCTAAAGTCACAGCACTTATCCATGAGGCTAAGTGAGGACTTTACATAATGATAGTTGTCAGAATCTGTTCCATCTAAAATGTTCTCCTCAGTGCTTCAAGAGAAGGGGGAGACTTAATGTGCCATGGTCACAGCTGGTCCAGGGACTGATGGGCCATTGTACACTCGGTATCCCCAAGGTCAGGTTGAGAATTCCCTGCTGGAGTGCAGGCAGCTCTCCAGCGTCCCTACCGCTGGTACCCAAGGCAGATCCAAGGCTGCCCCCTCCCATGCTGAGCTTCCAACTCATGTTCTCATGGTAGTTCCAGAATTACAGGTAATCATAAAGATAAAGATAACAACAATTGGTGGAATGCTTCCTGTGCGCCAGACACTATGCAGAGATGTTATAAATGCGTTATCTCATTGAATGTTCACACCCGTCCAGGAGGGTCCATTCCATCCCCATGTCAGACACAAGACAAGGAGGCTTGGAGGAGGTTAACCTGGTTGCTTGGTGTCCTGCTGCTCGTGAGTGGTAGAATCTGGAATCAGAACCAAATGTCTGGTTGACCGCAGAGCCTATGGTCTTGACAACTCCTGTTCACCATCTCCTCCTAATTATAAGGAGTATGAAGCTTGATGACAGGAAGATTCTGCATTAGCAGGACCCCACTCAACTGTCTTCCTTGCAGTTACAGAGAGAGAGACCAGGCTGGTGGCGCGGAGAAGGATGACACCAGCCTGTTCTCTTTCTGCTCTCCAATGATTCCTTCCAGGTAGGATGTGGTTTGATATCTGAGCACTCTCTGAAAGGACCGCTTGGCCTTCTCCATGTCGTTCAGCAAGTGTCCCGGGGATGCCTTGACCTTATATCTGCAGCGGGAAGCTGCCATCTTACTGACCCCCTCAGACAGCCTGGCTGTTAATTCCGCCTACTGTGGGGGTCGTGAGGGAGTTCTTCTTAGTGTAAAAAAAAAAACCAAGGCACAGGATGAAGCAAAACACAGTTCATTTCTGGAGGAATTAGAAGCCTATGGGTGGGCCCTATTGACAGGTATCTGCCATAGATGTACCCATAGGACCCAAAAGAGAGTGCAGGAATGCCTGGGTTCTCTCACTGTCAGGCTGCACTCAGGAACACAAGTCACTTTAGTATTGGTTTCAATTAGAAAAGTAAATATGATATAGTCATATACCCCCAAAAGCTCCAAATAGGAATAACAAAATTAAAGATGGTATTTACAAAGTGCTACAGACACACAAAGGCTCACTTAGTCTTTACAGCAGCCTTAGGAGATGGGTACTGTTACTCCTGCCCCCCCCCCCCAGTAGTCTGCTCACAATCACCCAGCCAGGAGTGGTAGAGCTGGGAATTGAACTTGGACAGTCTGGTTCCAGAATTGAGGCTCTTTACTGCACTAGCCTGCCTCAACCTTTGGTGTGCATCAGAGTAACATGGAGGTCCTGTGAGACACAGATTTCTGGGCCCCATTCCCAGAGTCCCTGATTCAGTAGACCTGGGGTGAGGGTGCCTCGATTTTGCGTCTCTGACAAGCTTGTGGCCTTGCCCGTGGTTTACTGCCTGCTACTGCCTACACCAAGCAGAGCAAAGAGGAAAACCCATTTGCCTACCAATGCCAGCTTGTAGGGGTGGGGGTAGGGACTTCTGAGAAGCCCAGAGCTTGCCTCAGATGGGCTGGGGGGGTCTGTCTTCTTTCCCTGTGTGCTTTTCTGCCATGCAAAGGATTCCTTGGGGGAGTGAGAGTGTGAGGCACTTGGTTGGTTAGGGCTGGTTAGGAAGGCTGAGTTTTCTTGCAGCCTCTGAGGAGGAGCTGGCAGGAAGGCTGGGTTGAGAGCGCTCCTTGGGCAAGCCAGGAATTCAAGCTGCAACTAGGTAGATGTTATCTTCCTGGCCACAGAGTGTAATTTGTAGTGACATGAAACCTGGAGGAAGAGAGCAGAGCAGAGTGGTGAAATGGAGAGGACTCCTCCCCACCCCCAGTGTTCCCTTTTTTGCCTGTGCTTGTTTTCCATAATGTGTGTCCCACCTGTTGATGTGCTAGGCCTGCAGGGGTGGCAGAGGGAGGAGAGCTCTTCTGGTTCCTGGGCGATGGGACCTGGATTGCTCTGCATCCTGTCTCCATTCCTTGCTACTGAAGGAAGAGAAGGAAACCTTGACCTTGACATTCTTTATTCCTTAGGACTGCAGAGGGCCTGGAAGAGCGGGGCACTGAGCCTACAGTAGGAACGAGGCCACTTGGGCCCAGCCCCTCGGGACAAAGTGGGAGCTGGCATTTTAAAGGTTGCTCACATTTTGCCAACCTTTCATGTGGACTCTTAGGAAATTCCATCAACAGGGACTCCTGGAAGGTTCCACAGCCCTGGCTGTGAGCACAGCCATCTTAGTGCTTTCTCACTCATGAAACAGGTTTCCTGGGGTGTCCTGAGAGGGGTCCCTGGCTTAGGGAGCCTGAGTGACCCGGACTTCCTCCAGACTGGCCTGTCTGCCAAGACTCTTAGTACTAAAGTCTTGTATGCTGCCTCTTGAAAACAGCTATGGTTGTAGTTGTTATTGTGTTGTTTTTCTTAGTCCAGACTGAAGAGGACATTTTAAAGAGACAATGGAGATGCTGGTGTGGAGGCGAGCACACAGAGATGAGTTAGTGTTTTTCCTCCACTCTCTCTCGTATGTGGTCTTCCATTCTTTCTGTGAGGCCCCACTGCTGACCTTGACCTTTGTGGCAGTTTCCTTTAACAGAGTGCCCTGCCTCTGTTTTCTCAGTGTCTCTGTGCCCAGTGTCCTCTGCCTCCTCGAGCTGGACTGATGGACTTGCTGAAATACTTCGCATTTACCTTTAGATTGTAGACTCCACAGTTCAGTCCCAGTCTTTGAGAAGTACTAGTTATTCTGGCTTGCTCTCCCCACCCCTTTTTCAGTCATCCTTTCTTTAAAGCTCTGCTCGAGGTCACTGCCTAGGGATGGGAAGGGTGTGCCAGGCCCCAGGGTCGGAGCTCTTTCTGGTTTGAGTTGCATGAGGCTTTGTTGTCAGTGGTGTTTTGTAACCCATGGCTTATAGTCTTGTGCCTCCATGGGTTTATCTTTTGGCCTGTAGGCTTTTTAGGGGCTTTGAACCATATTTTGGACTTTTTAATACCACCTCTATCCCTTAGCATCTGCTATAGCACCTTACACATAATGTGGACACCTAATGTTTATTGGTTGATTAACTGGATGGGAGCTAGTTTTAGGAGGGCATTGATAGCCACAGAGGAAATAAGGCTGGGTTGCGTTGGGTGGATATGGTGAGGGGAAGGGGCTGGAAAGACGTAGCTGGGGGCACTGAGTGTGAGGAAGCTATCTTGCGTCCACCTTCTTGCCTGCGCCCTCTTGAGGCTGTGCTGTTCCTTCACCTTCCGGACCGAAGGGCACCAGACCCTTCTGAGGAGCTTGGAAGTGAAGCAGTCAGTCAGGTTAGGGACGGGCGTGTTTCAGTATGTTTTCCTTGACTATGTAATTTTATAGTAGGAATATGGCTTTATATTTCTTTTTTATAGAATGAAATTCATTTATATTTATTGTAGAAAATTTGGTAAATCTGAAAAAGAATAGCACAGAAGAAAATAATACTATGTTAAAATATTTTTTAAATGGAGACATAGTGGTTTTGTATCAGCATTAGGAAAATGGACTTAGGGACAGACAGGTTTCTTGTTAGAATTTGCATGTAACTCTTGCATGACTTTTGGCTTTCTATCATCTTCTGAGGAAGTTATTTGTTTCTCTCCTTTTAGAGCTGAGGAAGGTGAGAAAGAGAAACTATGTGATTTAGCCTGCATGACACGGCCAGTGAAGGGCAGAGCCAAGATTCCTGAATAGCATGGTACCTTTCCCCAGTCCAGCACCCTCTTGATGAGTCAGGGTGAAGACAGTGGAGCGTGTGGTGTTTCATCTGCCCCATGCAAGCCCTGAGCTCTGGCTGTTGACCGTGTCTGTCATCAGAACCCCTGTGCGATGAATCGGAAGGGCTCATGTCACTGTCCGTTCAGTAAGCCCAGGGCAGCTCTGTTGTAAGTGGAAATGCAATCGATTCAGGTTAGGACCAAATTTAGATTTCAGAAGGATATGGAATAGAAGCAGGGTTGCTTGAAGAAATTGGAAATCTTTGTGGAAATGGAGAGAAGTCAAAATTACCTGTCCTAGTCCTGCCCCCAAGCCACCCAGGCAGATGAGGCTGGAATCTGAGCTCCAGAAAACCAAAATATCCCCAGATAACTCAAGTGCAGTGCACTCAGCCTGACACATTGGCAAACC